CCCATAAGTGGTAGATTTAAAACTGGCAACAGTTTTCATAAAGGGGACTACCAAATTACAAAGACGCATTCTGCAGAAGTGGATGCCCTGCCAATCCTGTGGCTGATATAATGTACCGTGATGAATTAGCGAGCTCAGAAAGAATTAACCCACCAATAAAATGACAGACTTGGTACATTTCAAAGCATCTGGTCAGATCTCATGGAATTTCTTGGCTGCTACATTTTCAGTCAGAGAGAAAGAAATAGTGAGGAGAGTCCATGATCACCTTATAGTATTTCACTGGATGCCTCAGAAGAGCAGATGGGGATAGTGAGCAGTGGATAAGGTAAGCGTTTGTCTACTTGAGGGCTTATATGGACCCTTTCTTGGACTGGGTCCTCTTTAATATCCTTATAAATCCATATAAAAAGTTGTAATTTTCTTGTCTGCTTACAGTTTATGGTTGTCTAAATTTTATAAATAACATTTTTTTCCATGTGCTCAGGTGAACACATCCTAGAGTTGCCAGAATTTAAGTATTCTGTGAAAAGCAACCCCCTTTAAATAGTCTTATGTTACCTATCCAGAAATTGAGGCATCTAGAATTTCTACTGAGTCTTCAAAGTCTGTGTTGCTGCATTTGATTTTTTTCTTTTCATGTCTACGTTCTATGTGGTCTTTGAATGGTTGATAACCATAAATATTAGAAAAAAATCCAGCCAAGTAAGACTTGTTTTGAGAAAGAAGAACAGAAGAAGAAAAAAACAAAGTAGGGGGAAAAAAAGTAGATAGGTCCAAACTGCTGGCAAGCTTGTTTGTACGTCTTTAAGATACATTTACTTATTCCAATTCCATCTTTATTTCTATTCTGCCACAGACTTGATGTCTAACAATGTAAGCTGTTCATGTTTAAAAACAGACTTCACCTTTAAATGTGCTTAGCCTAGAAAAAATATGCCTGGTGAGGTCATTTGCAGAGCAAGAGTTAATGCATCATGCAAACAGCTAAATAAAGGTTACAATCTGAGTGGAATTATTCAAAGCTCAAGGAGAAATCTGGTATTTGCTGTCTGTCACTGGGTTTGAGAAGTCTGGCTCTCTCAGTTCCACTGCCACCCGGAGATATCCTGCTTTCTGTGTGGCAGTAAGGGAGGGGACTGCAGCACTGGACCTTCTTCCTGTAAAAACAGCAAAAACAGGAGCGGTGGGAAGTGTCATGTGTGAAGAATGTGTGGAATGAAGGGTGAGTATGAGTCCGTCTTTGTCCAGATTTCAAAGAGCAATGTTATGGGTGTAAATAGCCACTCTTCCTCCTCTCTGTTCCTCTTCAGGACAGCTGAAGAGCCAATGTCAGAACAGCGTATGATCCCTGATATCCCTGAGGCGGATTGCTGCATGGAGGGCTATGAAGAGCTGTGTGCCTCTTGAGACCTGCCAGTTAAGTATCACAATTTTGGGGCCCTATCTGGTAAGGGCTCCTCACCCTTCTTCTCCACCAACATCTTTGAGAGTTGAGGGTGTCACTTTGGGGCAGGATACACCCTAAGTATGTGTGTGATACAGCCAGAATAAAAATGCATCACTTGTAAACACCCGGGCTTTTTTAGAGTTGGCAACCTCCACAGAGGTGTTGTGCTAAGATTGTGTTTTGCATTTCGTTTCCTTGTTTTGTTTCTATAAGCCAAGCACTTGGCTGATTGCACAGGAAATCAACTGCTATGGGCATTTACTTCAATGGGCAAACTTTAAACGAGTCACCAGGGACTGGCTGCTGCTGAGTTCAAAGAGAAAGAGACATCCAAAACCTCTAGCCAAGCCAAGTTATGGTGGGAAATATCAGATACAAAGAGGAGAAAACTGGAAGGCACAGTAGGGTGAAAGACAGATGCAGTCTGGTTTTCCTGTCCCTAATTGGTCAGATTAAGGTGAGGTTGGAATAGATTTAAAAAAAAACACAAAAAAACAACCAACCAACCAAACAAACAAACAAAAACAAAACAAAACAAAAACAAACAAACAAACAAACAAACAAACAAACAAACAAAAAACAAACCAAAACAAAACAAAAAAAACCCATAAAATTTTGCTAAGGGAAGTTTGTTGAACATCGGGAAACGTGCTCTGGTGGTTATGTTCTATGAACTGTGTGCAATAGTCTGGGGATGGAAACACACCAACAAAGTTAATGTGGTACTTGACAAAATATTGGAAAATGTATTAGAAAGTATAGTTCCCTGCGGGGCAGAACATGGAGCAAATGACCTGCTAAGATCCACTATTCATTCCTCCTTTTTTCTTTCCCCAACGATTTTAGAAGCCTCCCCAGGCTTAGATAACTCAAAGATAACTCAAATCTCCCATATCTCTAGTTGAAGTAAAGAAGCTGTGTTAGCAGAAGTGGAAAAAAGAGGAAGATAGAGGGGAAAAAACATAAAGGGAGGGAACATAAATTTAAACTTGGATGTTGCTTCCCCAGCACACACTGTGAGCAGTAGACTCCCAAAAGGAAGACTAGAGAAAGATTGCCATCTTCTGGAAGGATAAATATCTGCCATTATTGAGAATACTAAATCTAATATATGTATATTTTTGAAATTAAAGCATATTTCTGATAAATTTATTTTATAATCTGCATTCTTATTCATATAAATCTAATTCAATCTCATTTCATCAATATATATGCTGTGATCCCAGCTTTAGAAACTGACATAACATCCTGGTTTTTAATGAGACTCTCATCAAGTTATAAATTAGGAACTTGTTAACATTAAGCATTATCAGTAGAGAGATGGACTTTATATATTCTTGAGCCTGAAAACCAGACTTTTTTTTTTACTGAGCATTTAGAAGCCAAATTTACTTAAGTTGTCCAGATGTGGAGAGACTGAACAATGGAAAAAAATAAAAATTACCACTCTCCTTTTAAACAACATCAGTTACTACTTTACCTACTTCAGTAAATTAAGCACAGATGTGTCAGGCAGAACCTTGTTATTACTCAGAAAACTTGCAGACAGTCCATGGAGCACGGAAACATTTAGCATTGCTTTCAGTTAGCCCGTATTAGAAACTGTTATCTGTATTAGAAGGAGTTTATGTAGTGATTATGATTAAAATAGCCAGGGCTACTGACCGTTCTACTCAGGGCAGGAGGGGTCAGGAGCCCGTGGTAGCACAGCCCGTGTCCGGGGCTGTGAATTTGCCGGCTCCGTCTGCTGCCTGTGCTGTGCAGGGGCTGTCCCAGGCTGTGCTGTCACCCAGAGCTATTCGGACACTTGTCTCCCAGCCTTCGGGCTCCGGTGTTGGAAGCAGGGGGTGAGAGCAGGAACCACTGGCTTCCTCTGTCCTGGCAGAGCCGCAGGGCAGGGCAGGCCTGCAGGGAATTTGTCTGGCTCTATCCCAGGGGTGGTGGGAGCCTCACCCGCTTGGCACTGGGTGAAGCCTTTGTGGGGAAGACAGGGTGCATACCTTTGGGGTGCTCCTCTGCCTTGCATTTTGATTCAGTGTGGTGCTGCTCCATGCCGTCTAGTGACAATTCATTCTCGTGAGAGATGATGCCATTCTTACTTTTCGCTGTTCTGATACCAAATGAGGTGTATCAACACCCTCAGGTATTGTAAAAGCCTTTAAACTTTCAGGACAAGAGCTCAGAGGGGACTTTGGGTGAGTGAATCTTTCTGTCTCTCCTTACTAGCTTCTCAAATTCATCCAGTGTGAAGCTGCTGGGAGTTGGGATCCCTGGTGAACTTCGTACCTTGGTAAAAGCTGCCACTACGAGGGTCACTGACAGTCTTCCCTATTCCTTTGAGTACTGGACTTCTTTGACTTGTCACTCTTTCAAATAACTCTGTCATGGTGGTGATGCCCTGGTGCCAGTCTGTCACTCAGCAGGCTTCTCCTCAGGGGCTCCTTTTGTCACTAAAATCTCCAGTGTCCATGCGAAGAGCTGTATTGTCATCTCTTCAGGATCTGAAATCCTCGGTCCTCAGAGCAGATGCAGTCACCTAAAACTTTCCTCCCCCCGTTTCTTTCCTCTTCCCTTTCTGTGACTGGCAGGTCTGACCAGGAAGACATCCCAGGGCGGGGTGGCTTGTGGCCTTTGCCATTCTGATAAGACAGTGCACAAGAGGTGACCTGATGCCAAGGGTGATGGTAGTTTCTGAGCTAAGGTCATTCATCCCCTGAAGCATTGGCCAGAGAGCTGCCAGCTCTCTCCATCCAAGTTCCCAAACAGCCACCACATGGAGGTGGCTGGGATCTTTCCATGTTTCACAGAAACTTTCTGCAGTCAATACAGGTCACCCTTCTGCACTTAATCCCAGCCCGCAGCACCAATCTCTTCCCATATAATCTCCCAGAACATCTGTGCTGTGATTGCATTGTGGATTACAAAATTAGCATTTTCCATGAAACAGCTGCTGGCTGGAGGGATAGCATTTAATAATCACTGGGGGAGGGCCGGGGGGAGAGTGAGTGGGATGGGGGGTGTTGGGGGGGTGAGGGAGGAGGGGAGGAGACAAAGGAGAAAGGGGTTTTGAAGCCATTGTGTTTCCTGGAGGATCTAGAGATAAGCAAAACAGCAGACAAAGCGTGAGTCCTATTTCTGTATTGCTCCTCCAAATTAACAGGACTTCGAGGACTTGCTGACAAGGTAAATTCAACTTGCTTTGCTTTTGGAGCTATCTAGATACTATGGTCAGTTATTGTCAGTAAGTGCTTGGCTTTTATGGAGGGAAACTTTTCTGACAACATTCTCATGAAGGAGTAGTTCAGATTTGCTTCTTATTCCCTATGTCCTCTGCATCCTTGATCCAGTTCCTTCTTCTGACTCATTCATTTCTTATACTTTTTTGCCTTTTTCCTTATCACTTGTTCTGAAAATATATGGCCTTTCAACTACTATCACAAATCAGATGGAGAGAATATTTTTCCCACTACTAAGGATTTAAATTAGAAAAATGATTGTTGTCAATATTATGAGTGGAAAGATTTTTTTTTTTAATAAAAGCATGAGCAAACTTAAACCTGATGACAGAAAATCTTATAATCAAGCATTGATTAAAACTTTGTGTGCTGAAGGTTTCTATTTTCAGATGAAAAATCATGGTTTTGAGGAGAGCAATTTCATCTATAATTTCCTTTTCAGTCTTAAGCCAAATTTTCTACTGTAAAAACTTTCAGTGAGGAATTGGCCACCAACACTAGCCAGAAACCTTCACATAATTAACTGTTCCTAGTAGGTATCTGCTCCAAGAAAATGATGATATCCAATATGTCTTCAGATCATGGAAGACATTAGTTACGGTATCACTAAGATGCTACCATCTCCAGGGTACAGCTGCTTCATTGCTGAAAGAAGGAATTCTCTGGTGAAGAGACAAAAGAAGCAAGAGCATAAAACAATGTAGGAATTTTTCAGGGGCTGGGAAATTTTTTGCCTTCAGTGAGGGTGTTTTGGATCATACACTGTTTTCTCGGTGTGATGAGATGCTAATGAAGTCCTGCTTTCCAAGAGGAGCTTCAGCACCATCTTTATTGACCACATTTCTGAGCTTGCTGGTTAGCAGAACAAATGCTTCTAACTGCATCATTTTTTGCTGCGGTGCAGTCACAAACAATACGAAGGTCAGTCTCATATCATTTATTTATAGTAGTGTCCACAGTATGATGGGCTTTTCTCACACGTTCAACGTTGGGTGAGTCAACCAAAGTTATAAGAAGAGGACCGTCAGCAGGCAATGTCTGCACAAACTGAATCTATTCATGGGCAAATAGATTTTGAGAGTCATAAATAGGAAAGGGTGGGAGTATCTGGATGAAGTTGTGCCAAACATAGGGAGTGCCATGTGGGAAGAGGCATGCGTTGATTACATGAAAGTTGATGTGTGGGTAGATGACATCTAATCAATCCATGGAGTGATAAGTTGGGGTTCTCAGAAGTCAGTGCAGGGTTTTGCAGGAACCGTAAAATCTTAAGCTTTCCTCAGAGTGAGAAGGACTGAAGGGCCACAGGACCCTGGTACACATTGCTTTCTGAATTACTTTTTCTGATGAGATGAAACTGGTTAAGAGCATTTGTGGCAATGTTCACTCTTGAAAAACAACCCTTTGGCACTTTGTGTGAGAGCAGAGACACTGTCCTCCCACCGCCCTACCAAATTTCTGATGTGCAGAGCAGTGCTTGCTCAGGTGGGAGGTGCTGCTCTGGGGGTTGAACTCAATCTGCCAGGTCTGGATAGCTGGGTGTCCCTCCTGAGGAGGTCACTGCTTTGATGTGTGACTTTCAGTGATCCGGGAACATTTTCCTGCCTTTCTCCACTGTGAAATCAATATACTTGCTACCTCCCTACGTACAGTAATGAATTGCTTGAAAAAGTGTTTGGGGACATTTGGCAGCAAGAATTCTCATTTAGTTGGACCGAGCATTCACTGTGCCCCATCTAAAGGCAACACATGGTATTTCGGGGAAGTTGCTTAACAATTTTTCCCTCCCTTCTCTGAGATGGAGTGAATATGATGTCTCTTTCATTTTGCTCACGTGCTCACACACCCTGATGCACTCAGTCCTGCTGTGTCTACTAGGTCACCCCCTCTCCCCCAGTACAGATATTTAGTGTACTTTGAAATGGTTGAAGCTGACCTATTGCTCCACCACCCTGGCTTTCAGGAAATGGTTCTTCCATGCTGGGTGAGCTGTTGGGATGTTATGAGAAGGGCAGAGTGCTCATATCCCCTCCCCACAGGTAGGCACTGGGAAGAGCAGGGATTCATAAGTCTAGGTGGGACAAATTATTGGTGTGACAGTCCCTCCCATTTGTGTGTTGTAGATGGAGCTGCTGAAGGGATTGCCATGGCGCCGTGCTTTCCTGGCTGTCATCCTGAACCTGCTGGCTCTCAGCCTCTCCACCACTGCCTTGCTTGGCAGCTACTGGTGCACTGGGACCCAGAAAGTGCCCAAGCCTTTGTGCGGGAAGAGCAAAGCCACTGAGTGCATCGGTGTCCCCATGCTGCCTGACGCCAGTGCTAGCAATGTTTCATCCCAGGATGAGGTGCACTACAGCTGGGAGACAGGAGATGACCGCTTTGCCTTCAGATACTTCCACACAGGGATGTGGCTTTCCTGTGAAGAGAGCATGGAAGGGCCAGGTAGTGTCTTGCCCAGGCAGTCACAACTTCTTCCCTTGTATTCACTCCACAGGAGTTTGGAAATGAAAGTCAGGAGGCTGACAACGCTCGGGAGAAAAGCCTTCTTCATTTTCCTAGATGGCATTGACCCTCTGCACTGTTGTGATCATTATATTTCTGTCCTTCATTGGGATGTTCACAGAGGGGGAGCAAGGGAGGTTGGTTGTCTCTGGTGTGCCCTTTGGTCTGGAATAGTGGCTGTGAAGTTCAAGTGGTGATGGTGGTCGCAGTGACTTTGTGGTGGCAGTGACTTTTTCATGGCATCATTCATCCTGATGTGAAATGAAGTGAGCCTCATTTCCCCATACCTCCATTCCTACACACAGTTTACTTCATGCTTTCCAGGGCACATTTGTGCATGCCCCCTCAGAAATCTGAGCAGGGTGATTTTATACAGTGCTGTTGATTTATAGTTATCATGGTGAGTACTGCAATAGTTACTGTTCTCCTTAAATCACCAAACTGAGATTTTTTGTGAATTGAGCAGGAACTGGACTTTTTTTTTAAAAAAAGAAAACAAACAAACAAACAAAAAAACCCCACAAACCCTAAAGAGAGAAAGAGAAGTACTGCCTTATAGATACAGAGAAAACCTGGAGGATTTGAATCCAGAGGAACTAAAGCTAGGAGGCAAATTGATCTGAGTATTAGAGCTACAGTACTGTAATTTTTTTAGTTGTTTTTGTGATATTGTGACAGGTTTAATTTGTGATTTTTGACCATGTGAGACTGGCACTGCATACCCTGGAGTGCCAGGGGCTGGTCATGCAACCTGTACCAGACCTCTTTGGTGCTTCCCTTCACCCTTGACTTGCTCCTTCCCAGCCCCGCTGAAGTCCTTCTGCTAAAACCTGTGCCATGCCAACACAGGTGGATGCTCTGCAGTGCACAGATGCTCTTTATGGCCTGGCACACACATCAATGATCAGAACTGACCCAGAAGGTGGCCAACAGGGAGATTTGTATCTAAAGATACAGTGATGAAAGTTGGTTTCATCAGGCCCGTTCCCCTGAGCCCACCGCCCTCCCTTCTTCATCCCTCTCCAAGCACAAACATCTTACCTTCTTTAACTAAGCCACCGTTCTAGTATGGCATTTCTTATTTTCTTATCTGTTGCTGTCAGAGTTTGAAAATAAAGAACTACTGAATAAAAGCAGACAGAATGGGGGTGGGAGCAGGAAGGAATGTGCTTGAAACTCTCATGTCCAGATGAGAGGGCTGCTTTATTATGAGCATTTCCAGATATGCTGTGTAAGGAGATGTGTTTATCTGGGACTGGTTTGGGTCAGGGTGTGTTTCCATGGTGCTTATGGGAATGGGACTACATCCTTTGACAGCTTTCTCTGAAAGACTTGTCTGGCCACTGGGCAGTCCTGGAATAACCCTGCTGCCTGAAGGACTGCAGAGAGTGCATTACATCTGGATCGCAGCAGAGCACGGGGTAGAGAACATAGTCAATCTCAGTCCCTTGCTTCCTGTAAGTTAAGTATAACCCACACCCTGCTGTGGGTCTTTGGAACAAGTGCCTAGATGACAACAACAACAACAACAGAAAAAAAGAGGTTACTATGGACAAAAGGAGTTTGAGTTGAGCCGGAGAAAGCATTTCATTTTTTCAGGCTAATCTCAAAATTAGTTTAGATGAGCCATTACTGAATAACCTCACTAAAGTTCTAAGTGAAGTAGCAAACCACAAGTTAATGAGGACTGCAGATAGCACTAAACCGGGCAGCATCCTGAGATCTGTGGATGACAAGTAATACAGGAGATTGGGAGAGATTATAATTGAGGATAGAAATTAAGAAAACGAGATTCTTACATGAAAAGCAACAGGCTGATACTTCTAGGAGAAAACACTGTGCCAAGCATAGGAGAGGACCTTCGATTTGTATGAGGGTCAACAAGACTGAGTGTCGGGTCCTGCACTTGGGTCACAACAACCCCATGAAATGGTCCAGGTTTGGGGCAGAGTGGCTGGAAAGCTGCCTGGCGGGAAAGGACCCGGGGGTTTTTGTTGACAGCCATCTGAATATGAGCTGGCAGTGTGCCCTGGTGGCCAAGAAGGCCAATAGCCCCTGGCTTGTATTGGAAATAATGTGGCCAGCAGGGCTAGGGAAGTGATCATCCTCCTGTACTCAACACTGGTAAGGCTGCACCTCGAATGCTGTGTTCAGTTTTGGTCCCCTCACTGCAAGAAAAACACTGAGGTGCTGGAACACGTCCAAAGAAGGGCAACACAGCTGGTGAAGGGTCTAGCACACAAGTCTTATGAGGAGCAGCTGAGGGAACGGGGGCGTTGTTTAGTCTGGAGAAAAGGAGACCGAGAAGAGAGCTTAATCGCTCTCAGCAACTAACTGAAAGGAGTTTTGTAGCCAGGTGGGTGTCAGTGTCTTTTTCCAAGTAACAAGCAATAGGGCAAGAGGAAACAGCCTCAAGCTGTGCCAGAGATGGTTTATATTGGATACTAGGAAAAATTTCTTCACCGAAAGGGTTGTCAAGCATTGGAACAGACTGCCCAGGGAAGTGGTTGAGTCACCATCTCTGAAAGTATTTAAAAGATGTGTAGATGTGGTGCTTAGGGACATGGTTTAGTGGTAGACTCAGCAGTGCTAGGTTAACGGTTGGGCTCGATGATCTTAATGGTCTTTTCCAACCTAAACAATTCTGTGATTCTATGATATATGGTAATGCAGTATGCAGTAAGAGAGACTTACAGATATAAAGGATGGACCCTCAGCTGAGACAATAGCTTACGTCTGGCCAATATAAAAAGCCAAAGCAAATATGAACACCTTTTGTCCAAATAGCATGCCTAAAATGTGAGGATAGAAGACCATATTTCTGTGTGATTCTTTGCCACGTAAGAGGGACTCACATCTCTGTCATGCAGCATTTCACTTGGGAAGATTTTTTTTTTTTTGCTTTCTTCTTTGGGAAGCAGTGCTAGAACCACTCTGCTGAGACTGGAGTGAGTGGGAATTCACATCCTCAGAAGAAGTGGTGGGTCTGCAGTCTGTTATAAGCTACACCCTTAATAGGCCTGATGAAGAGTAATGTTGTGAATGAGTAGCAACAGATTTTTATATTCACCAGAGGCTCGTAAGATTTACAAATGGTTGAAATTTTTTTCTGGAAAAGCCACTTCTAGTTTTCCTGGCAGACATTGCCTTCCCCTACCTTGCCCCAGTGAAGGTCTGGAAAGATGGTCGGAAAGATGGTCAGAAGGAGAGCAGAGGTGAGAATATCTGATGTCTAGGTTCAGGGATAATTGGAGCTATGAAGTGAAAAGAGTGAGAGGAAGATATTTTTTTTTCCCTTATGTACCCTGCATTGTTTTGCAAACTAATACCTTTGGTTTTGTGTTTCAGAAGAGAAATGCCGTAGCTTTATTGAGCTTTCACCACCAGCAGAGAGAGGTAAGAGCAAATCCCCCATACCTCACTGCAGCTGCCCAGTGCACCTCCTTGGGATGGTGGACCTGCAACATTTTATCTGTGTGAGGACAGCAGGGTGGGTCCCCAAAGAGCCAGGAATGAAATTTTGGCCTCATGGTTGCAAAAAGAGCAAAGATTTCCTCCTAGATGTTTGTCTAAACCACTTCCATCTGTGAGGTCAGTGCTGGAAACCTTGGGCTCCCTCCCCTGTGAAGTGGGATTTGTTTCATCTAATAAATTTTCCAGTCTGAGCTTGGCATTTTGCTGTAGTCAGTGGGAAGGGGATGGATGCCACCTGAGGACAGTTCCTCCCACATATGCTACATGTTGACTCAGTGCTTCAGTTTTGGGGTCTAATGTGATGACTCCGGAAGCTGAATCACCTCTTACTTTGTGGCAAGTGATCAGGACACCTGAAAGTTACACTTTCAGGGTGAAGTCCTCATCAAATACAAAACTTCATCTGGATTAGAGAGCTCACCCCTCTTGTTACTGTCACATGTTTCAAATGATCCTGAGGATAACTTCAGTATACCTGGATATATGTGTACATATGCAATGGATATTTTACTTACTGAAAGCTTTTCACTAGTTGGTGTGGGCTTGCCCTGAGATGGAAGCTGGAGGCAAGTTGTTTCAGAGGATATTCATATGTGAAGGGAAAGGCCTGGGGTGCAGAGCCCGTGTCGGTGTTCAAGCCATGACAGCAAAGTCTGGAACAGATGCTGGGGAATCGCAACAGCCGGCAAGGAGATGAGTACTTTCAGGGAGCTAATTTTCTTTTTCTGTCTTGTTTCTCCTATTTCAAAAACACTGACAAAGACTGCTGACCTGCTTTTATAAAACAATGAGCATTCCCAGGTGAGGGGTCCAGTGGCATGCAGTGGCATCACCGTGCTGATTAACCTGGGTCACTCTTGGCACAAAAGCAGGGTAGAAAAAAATCCCATGCTTACTCTTTTGGGCAACAGTATTCACATAATTCAAATACTGCTGGTGTTACAATACCATTTTGAAGTCATGCAGATCTCCACTTTATCATGAAATTAATGACTTGACCACATTTACTGGATGACTCTTGCATTTACCACAAAATGCTCACTCCACAAGGAGTAGCAACACATTCTTCTTCTTTCTCACCTTCTTGTGCTTCATTTGCTGCCTGGGCCTCTGGCTCTGTTGTTTCCATTGTCTTCCTTATAGACTGTTTTCCTAAGAAAGGAGGTTTATGCAACCTGATTAAGTGACTTTGTAAATCTGTCTGTCCCCCCTCACACTCCTCCTACTGCTCCTTGTCTAATTGCGGCTCAACATTGACAGAAAGGCCACGTTCTGTGAGACACTGAGCTCCTAAAGATTAATTGGAAGATCACTGTGAGCTTAAGCATGACACTCATAGTGACACTGTGGTCTTAACAGCTCTAGTACCCACTTTCACCCCTTCCTGCACATAGCATCATCTTAAGATGACCTTGGCCTCCAGTGCAGCTGCTATTTTAGAGTTGGGCCAGCACTGGAGAAGGTGGTGTGACTGCTGATTGCAGGCTGGGCTGGCTGAGCTGGGTGTGTGCAGAGCAGTTCCACAGTACATAGGCAGCGTTACAAGACCAGATGACGCAGCACGTGTGGTGAGCCTGGACTCACGGGGAACATGATGCAGAGACCTGTGTGCATGTGTGGTGCCTGCAGCCTCCAGGACACTTTCAGCAGTCTGACCTCTAATTAAATAGTCTCCCTGAGGGTGCTGCGTCATGGAAGCCAGTTCCTTTAAGCAGGGATGCAGCTCATCAATTCTTGCTAAAGATCTGGGTGCCTCTATGGCACTAACAACATTGAGGAGTCAAGTCAATGCCATCTTAATGAGGGTTTTCTTCACACTCCTTTTCCTCAGCTGAATGTCTCCTCTACAGCCATTAATAGTTGCCAACAGTAGTGTTCACAGTGCTGCTTCGACAGATTAATAATTCTTCCTCAGTGAATCCTGTGCTTTTCCACAGTCCAGCATTAGAATGCCTTTTCTCATTCTCCTGCACGTCCTACTGCACAGTGAGCTCAGCTGTTGACTGTGGTATCACTTAAATTCCGACTCATACTCCCAGCATGAAAGTACCTGCACTCTGTTCAAGCAGCAGGGGTGAATGGTGAATGTTACTGCTCTAGCTGGATATCCACCCAAAGGAATGTAGTTTCATGAATGTAGCTTCATTTTAATTGAGGTTTCGGTGAGAAATATAGGCTTGCAAGGGGCTTCTTTAATTCCAGAGGCCAGGTCCCAGCCTTAGCCGTGGATGCACCATACAGCTCTTTACTTAACCAGTTGAGTCCCAGGTTAAAAGTTGTTTGCTTCCATTGTTGTGATTAGAAACCTACTCTAAAGGTCACTATGCTAATGGGTAAGAACCTTCTAAGGTCCAGCTCAGGCGTGTTTGTGGCCCACCTATGACCCCTAGGGCTTGTGCTAATACTTAACAGCTTTCCCCTGTCTTTTTCCCTTTGGTTTCCTCCTTGCTATTTATGAATAATACTGGCTTGTTTACAGAGAGCATTTTAGTTCCTCTCATCTTTTGCCATGTCAGACTAGTCAAGCCATCTTCTGTGACAGACTCTCTGTCCCCCCTCAGCATCCTTTGAGCCCTTGCTCATAGGCTGAGGGGATTGCTTCTGGGTGCTCGTTGTTTTTCTTCTCTCCCTTCTTTCCAAAGGACATCCTTTCAGGATTGGTTTGAGAAAGGGGAGTACTCTCCCTTGAACAAGCCACCCTGTATTGATGTGAGAAGTCTCTGGTTCCTGGCAGGAATCCTGTGGCTGTCACTGGGATCAGAGATGCTGTACATCAGCTTGCTGCTCATCAGCTTCATTCTCCTGATGGTGGAAATGCTGCATATTGGTAATCCAGTCTGTGGGTTGAAGCTCAATGCCTTTGCTGCTGTCTCCTCGGTGCTGTCAGGTAAGTGTGTTACTGCAGGCTTGGAACCACAGCAGCAGGAGAGCCTCCTCTCCCAGGCAAGGCTGAAGTATGCTGCTCTGGCTCTTGCTGTAACTGCTTTCTTGTCTTTTGCGTCCAGGTCTCCTTGGGATGGTGGCACACATGATGTACACTCAAGTCTTCCAGGCAACGGTTAATATGGGACCAGAGGACTGGAGACCGCACTCATGGGACTATGGCTGGGCATTCTAGTACGTGAGCTCTGAATCCTTCACCTCCCCAGCCTTTCAGGCTTCAGCCATGCTACACCCTGCCAAAACCCACCTCCTCCTTTCTCCACCTTCTGTTTCCAAAGACAGGTGTACCATGGTTCTCCTACTGCTAATCTGTCTTTGCCTCGTCCCCTGCTTTAACAAATAGTTGCTGAGTTACTTAAATGAGTAGCTACCAAGGACTGGCAAAACAATGGCATCACACCTACACAAGTGCTTTCAACCCTGCTGACTAATCATATTTGTCCCTATGCTGGTTTGTCCTGTTTGGTCTCAGCTCTTCTCTGCGTCCAGAAGCCAGCGTCACACTTGTGATGATGCTCTCAAACATGCCTTGTTTTTCTGCAGTTTAAGTAAGTTGCATGATGGTTTGGCACCTTCACTAACCAATGTCCAAAGTGCCTATTCCTGCAGCACCAAGCCTAGACACATGCTTAAAGATGTGGACACTGTAGCCAGGAAGAGCTGCTGCAAAAAGCAGGTGGCTCAGAGTTCCTTTCTCTAAAGTCTAAAGAAGCCAACCATAGCTGATATGCTGTAACTGACTTGAAAAACAATTGGATGAGCCTTGCAAGTGCCCATGGAAAGTGCAGGCTCAATTTGCAATGGTGTACTGACAGCGACCACATTGATTCTTAAGACTTAAAAACTCCAGTGCCATGTCAGCCGCAGACATCAAATGTCAGCATGGCCATCTGGTTATGCTCAAGCAGACATGCCTCATGTCCAGGAAGACATTGAGCAGCCCTGTGATACAGAGCTTGCTTCCAAGCTGTGCTGTCCTGCTGCCCTTTTTATTCTCCCTGTGTGCCTCCCTTCCCTGTGACAGGGATGACCAGTATTTAACCCACTGATCTAAAAAGAATCTTGTGGTGGGATAACCCCTAAGAACTCTAATGTTATGAGCCTTCGTCTTTCTAGTTCCTGTCCATACCTGGCAAATCAGGGTGCATCATGGTGCACGCAGCTAAATTCCTCACCCTTCTTGGCTTCTCACAGCATGTGCTATTCTTCTGTCTCTCCTGTAGCATGGCCTGGGCCTCCTTCACCTGCTGCATGGCCTCTGCTGTCACCACTCTCAACACCTACACCAAGACGGTGCTGGAGTTCAAAAAGAACCACATCAAGGGCTACAAAGGGAGCCTCAAGGATCAGCCTCAGCACCACCGGTGCTTCATACAGCAGCAAATAAGCCACTACTATGAGCCCCAAGACAAGCCCCTCCGTTCAGTCTCTGAGGGAGTCGACTTCTACTCTGAGATGCAGCAGAAAGTGCTACAGCAGGAACCAGAGCTGGAGCTGGATGAGGCCGTGGGACAGACGATCAGGGAGGATCACTGTTAGGGATGAACACACCGGGGCACAGCAGTAGGGTTTGGGAGGCACAAGAGCTCTGAACCAAACACTAGCACCACTATTAGCAAGTTCTGGTGGAGCTCTTCCTTCTTCTACAGTTTGGGGAGTGAGAATAGTTGGACACGGGGCCTGGGCAACAGCAGTGCCAACAGCAGCTGGGTGGGTCCTCCCTGATCACAGTTTGATGGGTGTCCTCAGCTGGGAAGCGTGACATTGGAGGGACATGTTGCTGGTGCCAGATGTCTCCAAGGTCTTTCAGACAGAGTTGAGGCAGATGTCCTAATCCCAACAGTATTGCACCTGGGAATAAATAGTCAGTGCCATCCAGCTGGAAAATTACAGTGCTGGGCATCTTTGGGTGGTGTCACATTGACCTTCCAGCAACCCCCCCCGGTTCAGTGCATGAGTGAAGGGCATTGGTGCTTATATTGATTGGCTGTAATCCTCTCTGAACACCCTATTTATTCTTAATTTCCAGGCCCAACCTCCTCCTCTCCTTGCCCCCAGATTAAAAATGCTGCTGGAGTAGGAAAGTGAGCTTGCTTTCAAACATCTCTTTCCTCCTCTTTCCTATCTGTGACTCCCCCCCATCCTCCCTTCTTGCTTTTTTCCCCAAAAATCCCCCATTCTGAGGTACTTTCCTGCCTGTCTCTTTCTACTGTGCTTCTTGACAACCTTTAAGAATCCTTGGCTGGGCTTTTGCTTTTTACTTTGTTTCTCTTTACCTGTCCCCTTCTCCCCATTGTAAAAATATAGCAAACAATCCCCAAATCAAGCAAACTCACCTCTCACGGGTGAAACACTGGTTCACTTGACACATGATGCTGTATACAGTATTTATTTGCTCCACTGCAGTTCACAGTTCAAATACATTTTCCCAACAATATACAGACAGACTCTTTATTCACAGTGGGGGATGTGTGTGTGCACGAGCAGGGTGAATTCACATTATGGAGGAGCTAACATTACTGCACTTGAATATGAGTTCTCTCAGGAGAATAACTACTTAGCTAGCAGTTGCTTCACCTTTCCCAGCAAGGTGGTGGCTAGACAGGAGAGAAGGGTCACTCCTGTTTAATATTCATGTTACTGGTCCTCACACTTTCAGTCCCTATTATGCAGCTGTATTTACTGACTATGTATTATAAACACTAACTCCTGTCTGGAGGAAAATGCCAGGCCTAGAACCCTTGCTACAGTTGTGCTAATATATACAGAGCTATTTACACAAAAATACCCTTAAACATATACAAACTGTTCACAGGCTCTGACGTTAAGAGAGCAGCGCCCAAGGACCAGCCTTGGAGCTTGCAGCTAATCCTGAAGGGCTATCCCGGAAGCTTTATATGGAGATGCAGGGACAGAGAAGAGAGAGGGTGATATAGTAAGGAGAGGTGTCAAGAGCCCAGGAGAGCAAATCCATGGTAGATGAGCCCATCTGGAGGAAGGGTCAAAGTCCTGCCATCACTTCACCACTCACAGGGAAGTGTGGGGAGGCTGGAAAGGCATGTACCAGCAGGAGGACAGAAGAGTCCTTTGTAATCCTCATCTCAGTCTGGCTCTGCATAATGTCAAAGGTCAGACCTAGAAAGGCATACTGGGAAAACACTTCTTATGCTGTTGCCCTGCACTGCGGGGAGCTGCTGGGGTTGTTTTTTATATGGTCATTGCTATTACAAGAAAATTCATGTAGATGCTCTGGAACTACAACACAGGAGACTGATGGCACACTCAAGAGGCACAGTTCAAAGCACTAAACATACTGTGAGCAAATGTGCCCTGGGAGTAGTCTGTTCCTCCTGGAACCGAACACAAGGCTGGGCTGGCAAGGGAATGGTAACACAGAGCCCAGAATAGGGGTAGAATGAACAGAAAAGCTTTCTAGTTCTATCTCTGTCTGAGCCTCTAAACCCTGAAGCAGTGGTGTGAGAATCTTCTCTGCTGTGACTGCTCTACCGTGATCTTTAGTGCTAGTGAGGATCTGCTGGGAATCTATCCCAAAAGGGCTGCGATGCATCTGCAGAGTGGGACTCAGTCTACTGAACTGCAATGTGATGTTACAGTGACACTTTGGCTTCAGAAAAAGCTTAGGGATGGATAGAAATAAGATGTGAAACTTTTGCCTCTACATCACCCACAAGAACCTGTCCTGAATTTGGGATTGGGGAAAGAAATATGCAAGCGCAAGGACTGGCAAATGCTGTGGGGACCATCTTTCCCTAGATCAGGTACTTCAGCTAGAGAGCTAGTTCGTTTCTGAGTTTGGGGACAGAATGGAGAAGAGGGCTGAGAGCACAGGAAAGGTTGTAGAGAAGACTAGCCCTGCAGGAGCCAGCCAGAGGCTTCTCTTCAAAAATACCAAGACTAAAGCAGGTGGTATCCTTTAGCCACACCATTTGCCTTGAGTCATTATGGCCTACTCTAGGCCTATAGCTTGTTTGACTGCCTGGAAATACTGTTTGGACATAAAAAGGAGTGTCCTAAATCTCATTCATAAATTAAGCATACAAAAAATATACATATATTGTATAAATGGATACATATATATATATACATAAAACCTGGAGTTTTTTATATATATATATGTATATAAATTCTAAATTCACATTTCTGTGTTACCTGGAAGGAAGCATGCAAGAACAGCATATGGAGGGAGAGACGCTGAACAAGGTTCCTCTGGTACAGGACAGGTCTGCCTAAGACAAACCTGCCTCCAGCAGCATTGCCCAGAGAGCTGATGAAAGGGGAATTGCTTTTAGCCCCCATTCCCTCTACACAGCAGTTTTCCTGAAGATCCACAGAGCAGCTTCCTGTATTCCCTGTACAGGCCACAGGTCCAAACAAAATCCAAGGAACCACCAGGCTAGAGCTGGAGAAGGAAAGGCAAAGAAAGACTAAAGCCAAAACCTATTATGATCCAGTTTGGTATAGAAAAGCAGTAATTCACAGGCCAGCAACTGAACCTGGACACTACCATATGGAGGACCCTTGTTTGCCTGTGTCAAAACAAATGATCTCTGTCCACCTCTCTACTCCATGAGTCTCTCAGTCCCTTACTAAGTCTTTCTAAGACTCAGTAACTCTTTCTGAGATCCCCCTTCCCTGTCCAACTGTCAAAGCACAGCTGGGTGTCTCAGTCTGCCCATCTTATGCCCAAAGGGGCTTACAGTAATTTTGCAGTCTCTTTGCATGCCACCAGTCTCTTTGCATCCCAAAGAGCACCTAACTGTGTCTGTAGGGAAGAGATCAGACAAAGGTCTGGATTTCCTAAGGGATTCTGGCACCATCTCACCTTCTGAGGAAAGTCAACAAATTTCAGCCGGGCAAGAAATCGTCTCACTTCTCCACGGCTGATTTTGGGAGTGGTTGTGTCCTTTAGCCACACCATTCGACCTTGACTCATCATGGCCCACTTCAGGCCCAGCTTGCTGACTGAGAGAAATCCTGGCTGTTTTTCAGAGGTTGCAGTTGTTGTCACAGTGATGTGAAATGCATCCTTTTGGAGATCATTAATTCCAACTGGTCCATCAGAAAAGGGCAAGAAAATATTGGTGAGGAGTAAATGAACATGTTACTTCCACAAGAAATCTTACAGTCTTTAATCGGTCAAAACATCCACTGGACCGAAGATATATTCAGTTTGACTTTACAATTGCATGTACCTTAATTAGGGAAAATGATTTTAAGTTAAAAATTTTCCATGGAAATAAATTTAGATCAGAAATGGAAGGGTTTGTTTCCAGGTGATGTTTTTGAGCTGACATAGCAGATGCACATATTTCAATAATGCAGTACACTTTCAGAGAGCTTTCCTTCCCATATCTGTTAGCAGCTACAGTTTTACTTCTGTAAGAGGGGAAACTGGTAAAGCATAGGCAAGTCAATTCACTCCAGGTACTGCAGAATGATCTGTACAGACCTCAGAAATTCCAATTTCTAATAAATCCCTCTAAAAATTATATTCTATTTGTTCTTGACTGAGCTGTGTTTTTGATACAAATCCAATCACATGTATTACTATGTAGCAGCTTTTCTACACTTCCTGGCCTACTACTGGCCTCCCTGCTGGATGAACTGATCTTTTATCCCACATCCTGCCATTCTCAAGAGGCTGGATGTTGGTTGAACTGCTTTAGAAAGAGCAAGGAAATCCAACAGCGGCTGTACAATCTTGTATTGATGTTAAATCCAGATCTACTTTTCCCTGAAATCACACATTTAAATATTTTGGATTCTCCCTTTCAAAAGGAAAGAGGAAGAAGGAGCACAGCTGCTACCCCAGAGACCAGTAGATGGCCGACAAAGGCAGAAGTCTAACTGAGGTGACAGAGAAAATTTTCATAGTGATTTTTCATGCACTGCCTTAAACCATAAATAGCTCCATGGAAAGCAAGCAATTAAAACATGCTCTCTGGTGTAAAGCATGCATGAAATCAAACTTGGACCTTTCCTTGCTTAAACATGTGCAAGAAACTTGGTGGGTCTTTTATTTGCAAAGTAGGGATTGGACAGTACCTTCCTTCAGGAGGAAGATGAATCTTACTTCCCACTGCTGGCCTGTGTGTGGCAGACCTCAGGTGCTATCTTTACAGGCACAACTACACCCCACTGTTTTTCACAGCTATCTCTCCCTCCATATTTCTTTAAGCCTAGGTAGTTTCTCCTCCATTTGTACTCACCTGCTGAAGCAATGACTTTGTCTGTTGTATTGGTGAGGTCCAAAAGGACTGTTTGAAAAACAGGATGGAGGAGATAAAGGTGGTGCAGTCCTGGGCGCTCAGGTCTGGGACCAGGTTGCTGCTGAAACAAAGGACAGACAAAAACATTGTAGCTGGCTAGCAAAGAGGAGTCTAGCTTTGCCAAAGAAATAAAGAAGTTTTCTGACACTGTGATGTCCTTACATGGATCCGAGAATCAAAAATTCTTACAGTTTTACAGAAATCAAATCCTGCAAAGTTTTTTTTTTTCTAAACCAGAATTTGCTCCACAACTTCTGTCTAGTAAGATTGAGATTTGGTTCTGTCAAAGTCAGCTTGATGGGCAAAGCTACAGTCTACAAGTTCCAGTCTCCATGCTGACTTGTGTGCCTGTGAGCAGAGAAGTAGTGGTCTGGGGCTGGGAACAAATCTGCAGGAAAAACATCTTAGTCTTGCAGAAAAAAATGAAATTCACGCAAAGTTCTGGTTTTGTGGACACAAACTTTCTGTCAACAAAGCCTTCTGGTGAAGAATGTGCACACAAAAACTCCTGTGCTCAGGCTCAGAGAAGTCAGTGTCAAAGCAAGAGGAAAAGATGTCCTTGACAGCCTTATATGGCAGGTTTAAAGTTCATTTACATTAGGAATAAAAGGCAGATACTGTATGTGCCTTTCAGAGAAACCTCAAAGTGAAGAAAAGATGCTTGCTCACCAAACTTTGTAACACAGGCTGTGCTTCATCAGCCCAGAAGAGAAAAACAGACTTCTTGTCCAAAGTCATGACTGACAGTGCATCGAGTTGTTGCTTCTGCCATGGGAGTTCCTGGTTCCAAACAGGGAGGCCGGATTTGCCATCTATCACCACCACCTCAAGGCAGGGAAGAGATTTAGCATTAATGGGTGTCCAGGTGTAGGCATACAGAGAGCCCCCTTGCAGTGGCATGGCCTGTGCTGTTCCCTTTCATGACTGTGGCCACACTCTGATGAGTGTCAGCCACAGAAATGGGAAGAGCAAGGAGCAGGGAATGATTGTCCCTTTCTACCCAACCTCCCCGACTCCCATGCTGCCACTGCCCTCCTTGCCTTCACTTGTTTTACCTTTTTATTCCCATCTCCGGTCTGTGCTTGCAGCATGAAGTCCAGAGTTTGGTCAGCACCAAAGTAACCTGGTACAGGCTGGCTGCAAATTTGG